GCCAGGGTCCTGAGGTCAGCAGTGACCCATTAAATTCCAATTAAAATCTAGGTAAAGCAGTGGAGGAGGCCAGTAGATTTAGGGACCAGACTCTCAAAAGGAGGTGTCTTCCGCTATGGACTTCAGAGAATAAGGCTGCAGAAGCCAGGGGAGGGACCCTCCTTTCCAGTCATCAGTCACATGACACCAGTATTAATGTAGAACTCGGCCACGGAGTGGGGGTGGGGGGAGGTCAGAAGGAACTCCTTGACCAAATAAATAGATGAGTCAATTAAAAAGGATGGAGTTAGGGGCTATTTATAGCGGTGGCCTGAATCACAGGTATCCTTGCCCCACGGAGGAAAAGGAGACCTTTTTTTGAGTGGCCCAGGCTGTATACATGAGAACTAATCTGATTAAGCCTTGGGTTGCAGAGGGTGGGACACTGGAGTGATGAGCCCTTTAGAATGACAGCTCAGAAAAGGTGAGGGGCAGGAGCACTGCTGGGGCAGGCAGGGGGTGGGGAGGGGCTGTCAGCTTGTGGAAATGGCTTGCACTGGGACAGAGGACAGACCCGGGAGTTGACTGTCTCCACCAAGATAGTCACGGAGAGTATCCATTCCCTGGACTTTGGCCTCCTGGTTGAACTTAATGGTTGAAAAAAAGCCCTCTCTCTTAACTGGAGGGATTGGTATTTAGCAACTACAGCTGGTATCCCTGACGCGCACCTGAAAAACACTTAGCAAGGTCTATGTGGCATGTCTGTTGCTGCTGTCACTGCCATCTGCCACATAGCCACCAGGCCATGTGGCTGCATCCAGCCTGTGAAGGCAATTATGATTTAGGTTAGCTCTGGAGATCTGGGCTCTTAACTTGGTGTGTGTTGGGGGGGGGGGTTGGTTGCCACTGTCAGTACTCTCCTGTGCCAAGTTGAAGGGGTTAGGACAATCCTGAGCTCAGCAGTTACGGATCCAAGACTCCAGAGTGTGCCTCTTCCTGCTTGTGTGAACCTTGGTCTGGCGGCTTAACTTCCGTAGCCTTGGTTGGGCGTCTACAAAGTGGGGCAATGGCTCTCATCTCACTGGCTGGTGAGGGTTGGGTACCTACAACCAGGCATCCTGGCATGTATTGGCTGAGCAGGTGGGTGCCTCTTGGTGTGCATATGACATTTCCAGAGTGCTTTTGTTCCTGCAGGCTAAGATGCTCTGACGTCTCATTGCCTTTGGACTAATTAGGAGATAAGTGAGCCGCAGCAATCACTGGAGAAGGGTTTAAGGGAAGAAGGGAAATATTTAGCCTGATTAAAAACTACTGTTATTAGGTGGAATTATATAAAGCATCCAGAGCTGTGTGGCCACATGTCAGCTGCAGTTATTATTTCAACCATAGGAAAACAGTTGGAATTAGAGGAACAAAGGGTTGCTATGACTACAGCAAACCCAGGTCTTTCTCAGTGCACCTGGGGCAGCCCCAGCCCCCGCCTGGAACAGAAAGTAATCTGAGGCTACCAGGGAAAGTGCAGGATTACTGCTGGGGAACCAGAGCCTCTCTGCTGGGAGATGGGTGTAGGCTGGGCAGGGAGGGCTTCCCTGAGGAGGTAGCATTGAAGATGGAGGAGAGCCAGAAATATATTGGGATGCCTGGGAGTATATCCCACTGTGAATTGCCAGGGCCTCCATGGTGATTAGAGGTGGTGGTAGGAGGTCTCCCTTTCTGGCTTTAGCTCCACTAAAAGACATCTTATTTCTCTTGTGTGCTCTCTCTCTCTCTCTCTCTCTCTCTCTCTCTCTCTCTCTCTCTGTCTCCCTTCTCTCTGTCTCTCCCTTCCCTCTCTTCATCTTTCCTTCCCCCACTCTCCCTGTTTGTCTCTCTGCCTCTGTCTCTCTCTCCCCCTCTCTCTCCCTCCCTCCCTCTCTCCTTCTCCCCCTCTCTCTTTGCCTCTCTTTCCCTCCCCCTCTCTCCATCTTTCCTTCCCCCACTCTTTCTCCCTGTTTGTCTCTCTGCCTCTGTCTCTCTCTCCCTCTCTCTTCTCCCTCCCTCCTCTCTCCTTCTCCCCTTCTCTCTCTGCCTCTCTTTCCCTCCCCCTCTCTCCATCTTTCCTTCTCTCTCTCTCTCTCTCTCTCTCTCTCTCTCTCTCTCTCTGTGTGTGTGTGTGTGTGTGTGTTGTACTGAGGGCACATGGAACCAGAGGCTAACCACATACTAGCCAAAGCTGCCACTGGATAAGCCCCTGAGGGAGATTATTTTTTATGGTTTATTGAATGTGTGCCTATGTATATGTATGTGCACTACATGGATGCAATGCCCACAGAGGCCAGAAGAGGGCATTGTATCCCCTGGACCTGGAGTTACAGATGGTTGGGAGCCACCACACTCTAATCCTCTGCAAGAACAGAAAGTGCTCTCAACTATCAGCCATTTCTCCAGCCCATGGAGATTTTTTTTTTTTTAAAGATGGCAAGTTATTTTCACCATTATGTCATGATGTAAAAGAAAAAAACATTGTTAATAGCAAAACATTAGGAATGGGCTGGGGTGCATCTCAGTGGCAAAGTACCTAGCATTTGTACTCCTGGACTACTATCCCCAGCACAGCAGGAAAAAAACCTGAGACGCTAGAAGGCAGGGATTCTGTCCCCCAAATAGTACCAGCTGGTGAAGGCTGTTCTAGATGGACACTGGCCATCAGCCTACACAGCCATGGGGCAAAAGTCCTTGGGAAGACAAGAGTAAGAAGCAGTGACCGCTACTGTCCTCAGTCATCCATAATGGGCAGCTCCCCTGAGTGGATTGAAAATGACTGATGTAGACGAGGGAGGGGAGAGGGAGGGGCGGTGGAAGAGGTGGGGTGTTATGGTGACATCCCGTGTTTGAGCCCCAGTGGTTCTAGGGATCCAACTGGACACTCAGCAGGGCTGTGCCTAAGTCCTG